GTGACCTTCTAGGAAGTTACACAAATGGGAGAAAATCGGGAGGCCATTAGGCCAAAGCAGATAATACCTCGATAGTTTAGAGTTTGAGTTGTACAAATGATATTAGAGTAATGCGCTGCACAAAAGATGGGAATTAAGTGTCATATAATATAAAATGATATGCAATGGCGGCCACTTTTTAAATCTTATATGGGACAAAGTGCTACATGGTGTGTGCCAGCACTTGAACTTGTAGTGGTCACCTCTATAGAATCTTATCTGCCTGGTGAATAATTATGAGATAAGAATACTGACGAGGACGTCAGTTACTTAAGTGGGGGGTAGATTGTGAAATCTCCTAAGTAAAAAGAAATTAAACTCTTAAATATTGAGGCGCCTTTTGATGTAATGTTTCTAAAATTAAGTTGACAATTTCTATACCACGTTGATTTTAGGGTAGTGTTATTATATCTACATTATCACATGCTTTTATTCATTTACAGTAGGAATATGCACTATTTTTATTGCAAGATTTTTTCATTATTAATGATATTATCCTTTATTATGTTTTATTTTATTATTTAGTTTTGTTCACTTCTCTTGTCTGTATGTAAACCACATATTCTTATACTAGAAAGACAACTGAATATAAATGTAGCCTTTTATATTGTTCTCCCTCCTAACTTCAAAAATTACCTTTAAAGATAGTGCCAATCTCTTGCATTGCATTTTTCCAAATTCAATACATAAGAGGCATAAGGCTTGGAATGTTGTGGGTTCTGGGTTTTAGGGTAGCGGTGGAGGAAAGATCTGGCATGTTCATTTATTAGAGTGTTAATTAGTGGGTGTGATGGGGGCAGATTATAGTTGTGTTTGATATCTTGGTCTAAGGGTATGGTTGGTTTTCTTGCTACTAAACAGTCAATGTAATGCATAGTACAAAGAAAAATTATTAAACAAACTAAATAAAAGCTTTATATGCATTTAACCATAGAATTAAAGTAACGAAAACATATATAAAATCATCCAGGAATATAATATCAACTAATTATGAATGAGTAACCGAATAATTCATAGATTCATACATTATTTCAAAGAAAAGTTCTTTTGATACTTTTATTATTCACTTTATTTGATTTTTTTTTTAAATTGATTCCAAATGACCCTTAGTAGTAATAGGAGCAGTCATACTTTTTTTAACTTTTACAATTTGAAATATAATTATTGATACATCGTCAAAAATTTATCTTGATCGGGCACGAATCTTGAGGCAAAATCAAGTTGGAAACTTCCGAAATTAAATTTGGGAGCACCCGCCGAAGCTCTGCCAGATGACCACCCGAGGCCTGGAGTTCTACCAAACCACCACCTGACGCCCGTCGTTCTGCCAGACGACCACCTAAGGCCCGTCGTTCTGCCAGACCACCACTTCAAGCTCGAAGTTCTGTCGGACTATCACCTAAGATTCATACTTCTGTCGTACAGTTGATACTTGTAATCTGATCTCCCTTGGAGGCGAGTCAGCTCATTGTAATCAACTCAAGTTCTAGTGAAATCTTTTTCAGCTGGATCAGGTCTCGTGATTTTTCCCTTTTTCCAAGGCTTTCCACGTAAAAATTTTGTGTTCTCTGTGTGTGAGCTGGATATCTGTGCAACGCTAAGACATAGTTTTCTAACTCTATCGGCATGTATATTCTAGCCCGCAACAATTATATTTATCTCAAATTATTTTTTTTTATTTGTATTAGTCATTGTTAATCTGATTTATTATTTTCATATAAACCATTTCTTAATGTTAAAGTCATTTCTTATTTATATAACATTATAAATTACATGTAATTAGTTATATGATAAATTCACTGCATTATATAATATTATAAATATACTTATTATATTTTAAGTTATTTTGTAAATTATAGATAATTAATAAATTGTAACTAGTAATGATGTCTTTTTTAAAATTTTAAATATATATTTGTTAATGTTTTTTTTTTTTATTAATGATAAATCGTGGGCATTTATTAATTATATATCATGATATTTTGATTTAGAGTAAAATTAGTTCCCCTTCTTACTATGCTTATTATATAAATAGAGATATGATATGTGTGGCATGCCCCATCCCAACCTCTTTTCTGTCAATCGGAAGGCATAAGTTATGCCGCATAACAGAGGCTGACAATTTGGGCTAAAAAATTTCCCATCAGTACCTCTTCTAGCTTTTCTTTCAACTTAGGATCAAGTGAATTAAAAATTGAACACAACTCATCTTGGCTTGTTGGTTGAGAGCTTATGCTTCCAACTAAGAGGTCTTGGATTCGAGTCTTTGTGTATGCATTGTGTGTGTGTGTTTGCCTTAAATGACCTAAATGTCCCAAAAAAAAAAAAAGAATTAAAAATTGAACTATTAGATTGTCACAAAAATATGTCTCATCCTTATAATAGATTTATCATATTCATTGATATAGAAGCGTGCATAATTTAAATCATTAAAATAGACAATAGATCTTCTAATACTTTAATAAGAAATTTATATATACCATAAATCTTTAATTTATATTATGTACATTTTTTTTCATATTACATACCAAAATTGTACATATATCCATAATACTAGGATAAAGAATAATGGTCTTACCTGTTATTTTTTCTTTCTTAAAAAATAGTCATTATAGTATTTGATGTGCTAAATCCTCGTTTAGCAAAATAATTTTAATATAAATTTTATGATAATGAGACCATTTGTCTTTTGCCCCAACTTTGTTTTCTTTCCTAAAAAATAGTCATCGTAATATCTAATGAGTTAAACGCTCAGTCAGATAAGTAATTCTAATATAAAGCTTAAACATACAAAAAAAATGATAATATGCATGTTGGTCATGAGCATTTTTTATTATAGATATAATTAACTTAATGCAGTGATATACTTTAAAGAAACTTACTTGGGTATTTAGCTAAACAAATGACTTAATTTTATGCAGTGATCATGAGTACTATAAGAGCATAAAATGCATCTGTTAAGTTTTAATTCATGAAGTGTATGCTACTTATTAATTACTTGCACCACTTTTATTTTTATTTTACTTATTACTCATGAATTTCTTATAAATATCATATAATGCATATAATCTTTTAGCACATTTATATTATTGGTCGTCTACTGGCTAGTCAACTCTAAAAAATATATTAATAAAATGCATCTGTCAAGTTTTAAATAGTTGATTTCATAAAATACATTAAACTTGTTGCCTATCATTCTTAATATGAAGAATATCTTATTGCATACACATAATAATTCATTAGAATTTTTAAAATTAACAAATGTTAATCCTTATATTAAATTACTTTTTATATTAGAGATTGTGTATCTTACCTGAATGATGATATATTCTTCGGGATGAATTTCGTAAATAGCCTGATAACTACAACTTTCTCAATTTAAGATAAATTTTTAAGTTTTCATATCAAAGCTAAATCTATTGACATCAAATAATACTTTCTTACCTCAAAATAAATTCCCCTTATTCAATCCTTCAATTTTATAAACTTGAATCCAAACTCAATCTATGGAAAAAATAATAAAATAAATTTATTATTGAAAATCTTGAATTTTCCTCTCCCCCTTCTCTTCCTTTTCATTTCTCTATTTTTCTTTTTCTCCTATTCTCCTTCCATTCTTCTCTTCTTCAGCTCTCCTTCTTCTCTTCTTCTTCCCTTTTCTCTTCCATTCTTTTCTTCTTCCTTCTTTTCCTTTTTTTTTTTCCTTCTCTGGTTTATTGTGTCGAGCTCCCTCTTTCTTTCTCTATTTCTCTGCACTAAGGGCCCCTCTTCCTTCTTCTCCTTCTTCTTCTCCTAATCTCTTTTTTCTCCCTGTCTTCTCTTTTTATTCTCGGTTTCAACATGTACCGAGCCTCCCTTTTATTTCCTTCTTTTCCAGCTGCTGCTAGGGGATTAGGATTGGAACGAATGTATTAGGTTTAGGATAAGATATCATTAGTTTATTCACAAACTAAATGATCAAATATATAACTAACTATCCTAAAAGTTACCCTCACCATCAATTTGTTGTACCATTGCATATAGCACGGACTTTTGAAAGATTTTATTTTTGCTACGAAGCATTAGTTTGGTGCTACAATAAAACTAAAACTTTAGGTCATTTAATTTAATTATAAAATGCTAATATACTTATTTTTTACATGCACTTTTAATATCAAAATGATCGAAATAAAATATAGAATTTTATAAAATTGGTTTCAATAATTTTTAGGGGTGCAATTTATTTACGTGCAACTTTCATCTCATCCTTTTGAAAATTTTGCATATTACAATGTGCTAGGCTGTTTTAGAAGACAAAAAAGATATTGGTAATTACATTTTATCGCAATAGGATTATCGATATGAGCATATAGTTCTTTTGTGATTTAACAATGTTCTTTTCACCTCCATCCACTTCTGCCTAATTGTTGTTTTTCTTCCATGATGATGGAGTAAGTGTCATTCCTGTCATAAATTATGTCTGCATTTCCTTATGATTGTACTTCTCGTTTCCCCTCAATAACAAACTGTTTTCCTTTCTAAACGGCTTTCTCTTTCTTTTAAATGGTATTTTCCCCTTACCCAACCATATTTAGATGGTTGGAAAAGTTATTCTAACTAGCAATAATTCTTCTTCCTAGTTTTTACTCTCTCCCCAGTCTTTTAATTATGAATTCTTTCTTATACAGATAGTCATTTTATATTTATTTTTAGAGTTTTGTGGCCAGGCCATCTCTTTATCTTATTGGGATTTTTTTGTTAGCATTTTTAGTAGCTTATTAGCTGATTGTTATTTATTTATCTGTAAGCAAGAGAACTCTGATTACATTATTTAGTTGGTTTTATTACTGATTTAAATTTGACTTGATTGCCAAAGTCACTATTAGCATCTTTAGTTCCAGCCGAAAGATCCTCTGTTGCAATACCAGTTAATTTGAGTTTACCTTCAAAGTATGCTCATCAATTTTCAATATCATGTACAGGAGTATATGGTTCGAAGCTGCTACTGTTTTTCCTGTTTCCCCACCTGTGGATTTGGCAACTGAAAATGTTTTGAAGTCTGCTTTGGCTGGAGGCCTCGCATGTGCCATGTCTACTTCAATAATGCATCCACTTGATACAATGAAGGCAAATATTGATCCGCACATTTCTATCTTTGTCAATGCCATTATCAGTATGTCCTCTTTTTTTGTTGCACCAGGGTGAGGCATGAGTTTTCTTCGGGAAACACTTAGAGCACTGGTCATGTTACCTTGAATATTTTTGAATGGTACATGCATTTCTTTTCTTTCTGAGAGGGAGTAGGCCTATAAAAATAAGTTAATTTTACCAGAAACTCGCTCTGACATTTCCTATGTATAAATGACCATCCTCTCGGTCTCCCAAGTCACCTTTTGAATATACAGGTGGCAAAATCACCTTTGTTGCCCCAGTTCTCGTAGGACGGGCATTAGATTATTACATTTCATGCTTCCTTTTCATGTCAATCCAACTGCTTGGATATCAGAAAGGACTCCGGAAAAAGATTGTTGAATGTGAAAGATAAATTCCTTTGGCACTTAAATTTTGGCCTGCATGAAGTATATGAAATTTATTTATTTTGCCAATAATAATTAAAATTTCTAGCATTTTTGAGTTATGGATTCTTGGGCATAAGACTGCTCTGAGTTTAGGAGATCTGCATGGCTACTCAAGCTTGCACTAGATATGGTTCTCATTCGGCAATTGGATTCATGCTCATCAACTCCGTTGCCTTTTTGAGGATTTTATGCCTTATAATGCTTAGTTACATGCATATATTTTATTTCCAATTTTTTGCAATCTATGAAGTATATGAAATTTATTGATTTTGTCAATAATAATTGCAATTACAATAATTAAAATTTTCAGCATTTTTGAGTTATGGATTCTTGGACATAGACGCTCTAAGTTTAGGAAATTAGCATGGCTACAGAAGATTGCACTAGACATCGTTCTCATTTGCCAATCGGATTAATGCCCATCAATTCCATTGCCTTCTTGAGGATTTTATGCCTTGTAATGCTTAGTTGCTTGCATATATTTTATTTCCAATTTATACAATCTATGAGTATTTTTTGGTTTTATCTTTGATGATCATTCTCTTGTTGAGCCCATTTTAACAACTTATTATCATACCAGACACGTGTACAAGCATCCACTTTGTCATTTCCTGAGCTTCTGGCAAGACTTCCACAAATTGGGTTGCAAGGATTATACAGAGGTTCCATCCCAGCAATTCTTGGACAATTTTCTAGGTTGGCATTTCTTTGTACATTCAAATGTTTTGTAATTTGATCACTTAAGAGGTGATCTTATATTTGACAGTCATGGATTGAGAACTGGCATCTTTGAAGCAAGCAAGCTTCTTTTGACAAATGTTGCTCCTACCCTTCCAGAGATTCAGGTAGATATGACTTACTCTATTTGTTTTTTTCTGATTAATCTATCCAAAATGGAAATAATGGTTGTAGTAACTAATTTTCATGCCAAAAAAAACTTTCATCAAATTGTCAATGAGAAATGACCAAATTGGCCTTTAACTATTTAATGTGTATTGTATTTTACACCAGACTTTCTCTATCTCCAATTTGGAACCTAAGCCTATCAAACCACTCTTTTAGTATTGGAACCCTAAGCCTATCAAAACACTCCTCTTTTAGTCTTTCCGTTAAATCAGTCATCAAAAACCAACAGAAGAGGCTTGTCTAAGGCACATGCTGGGGGTAATGAAAACACTGACGAAGTGTTGAAGAGAACAATATGACTAAGGGTGATATAACAAGGAGTCTACATGTATAGTGCATGAACTCTAATGATAATGAACAATGCCCATGGTAGTGTTGAAGATAGGATGAAATGGTTGGTCAGAAAATGGAGAATCCTGGTATTGAAATAAGTATGATCTTTAGCACCAAAGATTTGTTAAAAGTATGTTTATAAATGATCAATTTTGAGGGAATAATTTATTAAATTTATTAATTATGATGTTAGAATGTGCAGGGCATTTTGTAGGAGGCCTAATATGCTCTACTTAATATATGCTTCTAAGCATGGCGCACATGGCAGATAACATCATTGGAAAAGCATCCTTGTTTATGACTTTATTAATAAGATCATAGATTTTTCAATCACCATGAAGTAATTTTGAAACATATTAGGGTAAATCTAAAGCTGAAGTGTAAGCAAAGTATTAAAAACATGTTTCTAATGAAAGAAAACATGGGTTATGACAACAATACAAGAAAACATATATTTTGCTAAAAAATGGAATGAAAAGTTGTCCAAGGGTAGGGAAAGATCAGGAAAAAAAATATTTATGAAGCTTGTTCATGTGTAGTGTGTGTAGTGGCAAACGTTGATAACAATAAGTACCACTTACCAATGTGTATTGGAGCCTTGATCATGCACTTGTAAAAGTTAGGACATGACTAGAATATCATTTATGCATGCTTGTGATGTAATTAATATGAAAATGCATGAGCACAAAAAAGTTGTCCATTATTGTTATATCATTGAGACTGATGATTAAAATTGTAAGCATATCATAATGTTAATCAATGGCCCAAAAGAATTGCCTAACTAAATTAATACAACAATAAACATGTAAATGCTCTCTCAAACTTTGTAGTTCCCTTTTTCATAGGAAAATAATGCTGAGCTTTCATGTAATTTCAAACGTAGGCTAGGATAAGGTCTCAAAAAGTTCCTCTTATCTGCTGATGGATAGATCAAGTATTTTTTTTTTTTTTTTAATTCTATGGGATTGAAGAATCCTATGGGAGCAGACCCCCATTGGCTATGAATAATTACTTCATAAGCTCGATGCCCAAAAATATTCCCAATTAATGATATCATTATTCTTTAGATTGGTGGTTGGGAGTTAGATTTATAGTGGGAGATTGGATGGGGATGGATCTTCAACTCGATCAGGATCTTATAGTTTTGTCAACTTGTGCCAGTTTGGCAGACCTAATCTATTAATGACAAACAACTAAAAGGTCACATTGTTTAGGGAGTCTCAAGCAGAAGACGATGGCAATATATCAAAGAGTGAATCTCTTTAAAGTGAGGCCCAAATTTTGTTTTAAAGAGAAGGCCCGAGGGAATTGGAGTGACTAGTTTTTTTTTAGGTTCAAGGACATGACTATTAAAAATACAATGAACTAGCCTTACTGAATTCATACCAAGATTGGTTGAAAGGCACCATGCATGACTAAGTTCAACCTGAGGTGTGAATTCATACCAAGATTGGTTGAAACGCGATGCATGACTAAGTGCAAACCGAGGTGTGGATCCACAATTTTCTCTTGATCAAGATCATTGGCATAGCCAACTCAATCATGTGAGATGAAGTGAGGAGGTTAAATGCTACGAGCATCTTTATTGTGAGGCTTAGTTGACGGTTCATCCTCTGTTGCACGGTTTAGGATGTCATGGTAGAGGGCTTATTTCTGTATTTTCAAGTTTCCAAGGGACGGGGCTTTGGATTAAATTGTTTTACTTCAAAGTTAGCCTTAAGCATAGAATAAAGTGGTGTCCATCCAGGTAAGGTTGAATTCACCTAGGCAAATGAATTTCAATATTAAGAAGAATAGGTTAATTGCTCTGGACATAGAGTGGCCCAAAAAAATGGGACTTATGGGTCACAACCCAAGTCAAAGATGTAGATTTTACTTGTGAAATTATGACCTAACCTAGATATGTATGTGGGACTTATGAGATTAGAGGCCAACATTGATATTTAGTTTGAGACTAATGAGGGCTATGGCCTAGCCGTAAAATGCACATGGAACTTATGGTGTTATGGCCTATGTCATAGATGGTGATGGAATTCTTGGGGTTATGGCCCAGCTCGAAAATTTATTTGGACATATGGGGTTATAAGCTAGCCAAAGAATATGTTTGTGGGCTTTATGAGGTTATATCCAAGATAGAGATGTAGTCACATTTCCTTCAAATAGAAAACATTCAGGTAATCTGGTGTATCTTTGAATGCATGAATCAACTCTATGAGACAAGTGAAACTCACAACAATTAATCAAAGGGAGGCCAATGATGGATCTTATGACCTTCACCCTATTGGCATTCTGGACCAAATCATAAAAATTAATCATAGATAGACTAGAAGGCCTTACGAAAATATGAAGCCAAGTATCATGGTGATTATTATATCATTGGGTCCTTTAGATTGAGGGTTGGGTCTTATTGTTTTGTTATTAGATGCCTTCAAGTGGGATTTACCATTTCAATATCAAAAAGGCCTACCATCAGGATTTTAGATTCCTGATTAGAAGAAGGCCCAATGGTGGACTCTTATGCTCCTCTGCTCAATCTATATAGGGTTCTCATCCCATGCATTTATCTGACGCTAATGCTCCATTTGTGTGAGGGTCGTTTGGCTTCTATTTTCTAATATATATAAAAAAATAATTTTAAAAGACACACACCTTGCACTCACACCGTCTTCCTTCCGATAAACCTCACTTGACCATCCATGCTCCCAAATTTTATCTCTTCCCTGCGTTTCTCCTTCCCACGCCCAGTCCACCTCCTTAGCATTAGAACACCACTCATTTATGTCCCGACGTTGATGACAACTCTTTCCATCTCACTCTTACTCTATAAACTCCCTTCTACATTGCATTTTTTTGTTGTCGACATGTAAGGGTATATAGGAGCAATTTTGTCACCTCCATTGCATAAGTACTCAGACATGTCTTTTTTGACACAGTTGGGAGATTATACTGTGCTTTTTGTGCAATTTTTTACTGTCTTTATTGCATCATATTTCTTTTTTATGTCCCGACGTTGATGACAACTCTTTCCATCTCACTCTTACTCTATAAACTCCCTTCTACATTGCAATTTTTTGTTGTCGACATGTAAGGGTATATAGGAGCAATTTTGTCACCTCCATTGCATAAGTACTCAGACATGTCTTTTTTGACACAGTTGGGAGATTATACTGTGCTTTTTGTGCAATTTTTTACTTTCTTTATTGAATCATATTTCTTTAACTTTTTGCATGTTTCCCATCTAAGAAACCTTATTGTACCATATTTCTTGCATTTTTCTGGTTGTTTTCAGTCGATTTAGTTATGTAACTGGCATACATAATTAACTACTAGTCAAGAAATTCTGAAATAAATAATTTATTATGCAGTCTGAATAATATATTTTCGCAGGTGCAATCTATGGCATCTTTTTGCAGCACTTTACTAGGAACTGCTGTTCGAATTCCATGCGAGGTATTGAAACAACGACTGCAAGCAGGCCTCTTTGATAATGTAGGAGAGGCTATTGTGGGTACCTTGCACCAAGATGGCATTAAAGGTTTCTTTCGGGGAACCGGTGCCACCCTTTGTCGTGAGGTTCCTTTCTATGTGGCGGGCATGGGTCTATATGCAGAGGCAAAGAAGGTACTGTAAGTAAAAATAATATTAATTAATTACATACCTGTCTTTCTACTTATGCATTTATTTACTCATAGTTTACATGTCGCAAATAACTGGGCAATTAGTGCGCATCTGCCATCAATTTTTAAAGTTGTGTGATTTTTTACGTGAAGACTTGATATAGATGCAAGTGGGATCCTAATAGTTAGGGATTTGCCTAGTATCATTTTCACAGCACGAGCATACTATATGTATATATATACACACACACACACACACCAGTTGTTTGGAATTTTACTTATTTATAATAAGTGAAAAGCCCTCTATAAATGGAGACTTGACCTAGGCATTTAAGTGTACCTTATCAACTTTAATCTATGTTTTTTTCTAAAACTAACAGCGCTCCCGTCCCCATTATAATGGTTTTGATTATTGAGCTTAGTAACTTTTCATTGCATATTTATCATCTGGAATAATTTGTTTCTTATCTCAATGACTTGGTTTTGTCCTTAAATGAAATTTTCTTGTGATAAATGAGATCAATAACTTAATATCCAAGAAACAAAACAAAATAAAAAATAAAAAAACACTACTCTACATCGTATACTGATGGCATGATTTAAGAATCATTTTGGGATCTACATAAGCTAGGTTATGATATCAAATATTTGTATTTCTATTTGTGACACCGATGTCATATTTTGTATCTGTACAATATTGATCACTGATTCAACAGCAACTGAAATTCATAGTAAACCTTATTGACATCGATGTATTCTTGAAAGCCTCTATTATCCTCTTCATTAGGTGCATGCTTTTGTAAAAAAATTATACTAATGAAATTTGGTTTTTTTTTTCTATTCGATAATACACTTCTTGCACATTTGAGCAAATTTTGTATTGGTGAAAGTTTGTTCTCAGTATTTGTGAAATGGCAGTTTTGAACTGAGCAAATGTCATAATTTAAAATGTTTAGCTATCTTTGGCTTTCTGAGAATCTGTGTTTGACAATTTGTTTTTTCTAAGACTATTAGCCATCTATAACTAAGTGGTGTATTCTTGTTCTTGTTTGTCCCTTAATTTTCAAATCATGCCTTTTATCATGTATTCTCACATTCTTGTTACTTTCTTAGACTGCACAGAACCTTCTTCGGCGCAACCTGGAGCCATGGGAGACCATTCTCGTCGGTGCACTCTCCGGCGGCCTCGCCGCCATTGTCACTACGCCATTCGACGTCATGAAGACACGGATGATGACTTCAACTCCGGGCTTACCCGTGTCGATGCAGGCCGTAGCCTTCACTGTTCTTCGTCAAGAGGGTCCTCTCGGGCTCTTCAAAGGAGCTGTGCCCAGGTTCTTCTGGATAGCTCCTTTGGGCGCCATGAATTTTGCCGGATATGAACTGGCAAGGAAATCAATGGACAGGACTGATGAGTGTAAAGCCACCAACAGCAGCAGCCAGTTGCAGAAGAGAATGGCATAAGCTGTTTGGGCATTTACTGTAGTTATTATAGTTTATCCACTTGTTTTGTAAGCAGAACTGGGTTCTTAGACTTTGTTTGGGATGGCTTTGCTTTCTAAAGCAGCTTTTTAGTACAATTTTTTTTTTTAATTTTGTACTAGAAAGCTACTTTAAGAAGCAGTAAAAAAGCCGTCCCAAACGAAGCCTTACTCATCCATCCTCTTGAAATGTAAATAGATTTTGCTCTCTGCAAAGGTTCAACTGCCATTGTAGTTTTTGGCCCTCTTGTTGATGTTGTACAAATATAGGGGATTTTTTTGTTTTTTTTTTTGGTCAGGATATTATAATACGATTTGTATCAAGATAAATTTAAAAATTATTGGATTTGCTTTGAGATTAGTTCAATAAAAATTATTCATATTTATAGCATTGATGTCAAAGTAAATCCAATAATTTTTAATTCCATCCTAATTCAATTTATACCAAGATATCTTTATATAATTGAGTTTTCTTTGGATATCCTGATTCAAAATTGGCTATAATGAGCTTTTTATCATAAAATTTATTTTAAAATAAGTGTATTATATGATTAATTAATTAATTACAGTTGTCTAAAAATAAATATAATAAGTAGAAAATTCATACTAATTAGAATTTTCATTTTAAATATGCTTAAGAATGATATGTTTTGTTGATACAACCTGTTCTGTTTTGCTATCATCTCTTTTCCTTACATTTGCACTATTTCATCAAGTATTTTTATGCCTCTTCCTAGTTTTTTAATCATAGATCGAATCTAATACATATATTCTTTAATTGGGTTATCAGAAAGCCGATGTTTGCGTGACCAAACCCTCAAAGGCAACTCTAATTTTATTTTCAATGTTTTATATTCTATCTCTAAGTGTAAGGCCACTCATCAATCCAAGCACTCTCATCTCTGTAATATTTAATTTAATTTTATGTTTCTCTTTTAATGATCAACATTTTACCGTTATTCCCTTAAGATGTTAAATCTAAACCTTTGCTTTTTAAATTTAGCCTAAGATTTATCCCAAACTATTACTTTTTGAACTATTTTAGCAATGAAGAAAAACTTTAAAATTAAACATCTAAATTATCAACATAAGTGAAATTGAAACTTCTGCAAAGATAGCAAAATCTAATTACTTTTTCTTTTTGGAACGGAATATTCACCCACTGCTATCCTAGAAAGGGCACTTTACGGCGTGATTAATCCTCGGCTGACTTAGAAGAGTCATCCACCTCAGAAACCTCTTGGCCCACACTTGATTGGGCCCCACTTAAGAGGCGTTGCTGCTCGAGAGGAATCGAGCACAGGTTAGGAGGGTTTCCAATAATACTCGCCCACTAATCATGCTAAGCAACGGTGCGTAAATCTAAATACTTAATAGAGTTTAGTAAAGACAAGTATTATGGTATTCTCCTTGCTTCATAAAGTCACAACACTGCAGAGTCCAGACAAAATAGTAAAAGTTTGGCTTTAAGTCTTCTGCTTGGACTTCAACAATTCACCACTGACAAAACACAACACTTCATTCCAAAAAAAAGCTAAAACCAATTCCACATTATGGGCGTGACTAATGAAACTTTCTCTAGTTTTTTTAAGGTAAGTGGCCAAAAAAATTGGAACTCGTTTGTTATAGTAAGTTGAATCTTCAAATGATGGAATGAGATTTGGAATAATATCTTTGAAACTCGTGCAAGTATTCTTTTTTGAATGCATGCACAAAGATGCAAAGTTTTAGCTTTGTTTTTGCAAAATTGGTCACAGGAGAAAATAAAGGGGAGAGTATAAGAAAATGATAAGGGAAGAGAGGAAGAAGTTCTTATCACAAAGAAGGAAGAAGAGAGTGATTAATATCATCAAATCTTTTTATCTACATTCAACCCTCATAAGCAAAAGAGATTATTTCATTCACTATCAATCAATAATACATATAAAGTGGCATGATAGTCTTTATTCATATAAAATGAAATCATATTTTTTTTAAAGCTTGATGGAATATTTGATTTTTGTACAATAGTAGACAGATGAAAATCATTGAATTATGTAAATTTGTGTCTTATATTCGAGATATTTGGTGTGTTGGTTCTCTTATTTTAAATTAATTTTGCTTGAAGTTTTGATAATATACTAATAGATGGTATTAGAATTTTGGTCTAATAAACTTTTAGATTCGAGCATGTAGGATATGAATATAAAAAGGGACAGGTTGGATAGCCAAAATTCAAGTTTTTGAAAATGTATATAGGGTACTATTTGTACCAAGGAAAACTCCATCAACCACAAATTTGAGTCCATCAAATGCTAATCAACAAGGGTGGGATTTAATGGTCAAACAAGTTTTAACGATCATTCAAATATTCCTTAGTCTGCATGACATCTTCAACATCTTCAATGAGAAGACAAGAACATACATCATATAGGCCTTCCCCACATGTATGAAAAGCTCTTCATGTACAATATTGTATATATAATGCACAAAATTTTCGATCTCAATATATTAAAAGAGGCATTGATCATCGATTGTATCAATAAGTTCAACTCAATTATGAGAGAGTTGAACTCTGTGAACATTAAGTTCATTAATGAGATCTTTATCTATGAACGGTAAGTCCCATATATTCTTAGGGAAAATTGTATTCTTATAATTGATATTTAGGGGAAATTGTGGTATAATTTTAGTTATAGCTTATAATTGATTGACCAAAATATGATGATAGGTAGAGTGTGACTACTCTTAAATAATTAATGAAAGTCATCTTTTAAAATAAATTATTAATAAAAATAAATGAAAGATAATATGAGATTAACAGATGGATAAATATGACAGATAAGAGATAGAAAGATGAAATATCAAATGAAAGTTGAATGTCTTGTCTTGCTCTTCATAATTGTATTTATGATTTCATTTACTTGATGATGTAATAAATTGATTGATAAATAGAACTAAAATTATATTGATATAACATATATTGATACTAATATTAAATAGTGTAGCATATTGATATAGTCTATAGATTGATAGTCCTTTTTTTATTAATTTTCTAATAGTTTGATAAAGCTCTTTTGACTTCATTGACCATATTAATTTTATTCTAAATTTTTTGAAATTTTCTATTATGTATATAAATTGATGATTGATATTGATTAGAACAAGAGTAAACATATTGAATTTTTTGTCTTACATTGAAGGCAGTGGTAAGTTTTGCTTATTTGATAGGCCTTGTAAACTCACTATAAAGTTTTTATTAATTTCAAGTTTGGGAAGGGATCATGAACCTCGGTAGTGAGGATAATCTGTGTTTTTGTGTTTTCTATTATTTTTTATGTTTTGTTCTATTCTTTGGTAATCAGAAGCTTTAAAAAGAATATATTGATATTATTGAAATCTCCTAACTATTGTGCATTGTATTTTGAAGAAATTATTATATAAATATCTTAGTGTATATGATTTATAGTTGATTTTGTTAGATTTATTTAAAATAATATATATTTAGTGACTCTAGAAAATGAATTAAGAGAAAAAAATTCATAATTCTTCCAAATTTAGATCTTGGGATGTTACACCAAATCCCATAAACTCAAAATAGGAGGCTTTGGTTCTTCTTGCCTTTGCCAACCTCTCTACCTCCATCACTCCTCATCCTCACTTCCTCCACTCATCCACCAATATCCTAAGATTCCATATTCATCACCTACATTAATTTATAGTATCAAAAGGTTTAGAGGAAGACCTATGAAAAGACCAAAAATATTGGGTTACATTTCCAGATTTAAAGGGAAGCATAAGTACAAAAAGAAGGACCACCACATCCATCTACACATTGGGTGACACCTTTATTAGTTGGGTTCACATCATTCGAAGATATTCACACCATCAATTATAAAAGCTAAATGCATAGCAATCACTAAAGCTAGCAAAAAATAATTTAGCTAAAAGGTTTTATGAAAGAATTAAGTTGATCTTAAAACTCGAGCACAACACCATATATAACTTGTTTGAATTTAATGCCCTATAACTTTTCAAAGTTTAAAAGTATAAATTCTCACTAATATGCTAAAAAAATGGTACCAACTAAACAGTTAAGGCTTTACCAAGCTTTAGTTAATCTCCATAGATGATATGGTTGTGTTACATAAATACATGTTTAGACATAACTACTAAAGCAACAACATCAAAAACTCACTCCAAGTGGGAGATTATTAAATGTGGAGTCCTAGTTACATCAATTATCTTTGGTAAACTTTAGTCTTAATTTTATAAGATTTATGATTATCAACTCAATATCTATTCGTATTTGATGGTGATTATACAACTCAATTCTTATTTTTTTAAGATGGTGGCTATATAATTTAATTTGTACTTGATTTTAAGGTAATTGTCACATATATAACTCAAGCTTCATTCATACTTAATCCTTCCCACCAACCATCTAATTCGATAACTATTAAAAGAAAAAGTAACCAATTGTTGCAAGCAACCCACAATCAAATGAAAGTAATAAGAAGTAAAGAGTTGGGAAGAGTAGAATAAGTTCTTCAAGCAGAGAAGAGCAACAAGAAGAAGAGGTAGCATCAATGTATTGTTGTCTTTGTCGAATCCTCATCTTCACAATAGGTAATTATGTTCTCTCCCAATTGTTAATATTGACAAAGTAGTATTTTTTTTTATATGACTTTTAACTTCTTTCCATATATCTCTTTTGATGCTTAGTAAAATATTTGATCTCTATGCAACTATGGACCCAGGCAAATCTCAACAAAGAATGAAAATTTGTGTCTTGTATTTGAGATCCTTGGTGTGTCATTCTCTTATTTTCATTTGAATATCAGTGACTTTAGTTATACACTTGACCACCAGGAATCAAATCACATGTAGTTCTATGAAAAGAAAATGTAGATATAATTATATGTTGCATTTTGAGGTAAGATGGCCAACAAAAAACACGAGAATTAAGTGGAATGTAATCCGAAAATTTCACACTCAGACAAAATGTGCCTATAGTTCTATTGATTTTTATAAATGAAAGGAAAATAAGTGTACTTAGTTCATAATGACAAAGTTAGAAAAATTGGGAATAAAGATAAAACATAAAGGAGTTATGGAAAAGACTAATTTTTAATGACAATAATAATAGAGGAATAGTGCATCCAAATGCAAAAAGCTACCAAAATTATTCAAACCTTAATAGAACCCCCTATAAATGCAAAATTATCCAAACAAAGATTACAACCTAGAAGTTTTGTACTGATAAATAAAAAAATTAGACTGCAAAATCCATATAAGAAGAATTCA